AGCAGCACACTGACGTGATATCTGATCTCTGAAGATCCTGTAGAGAATCCTATCACTGACTTACTCCCAGTATTTCAAGTATCTTAGGACAGATGTTGGCTCTCTCACCCTGTCATGTCTAGAAGGTCTGGTGCCTCTCTATATCTATCAGCACTCTAGACAGGATTTTGTTCTTGAGTTGTTTATAATGGAGCTCTTAAAGAGTAAGCAGGTAAGGAGTCATGACCAATGTGAATTATCTGAGGTAAGTGATGCAAAACTTTGACAGCATGAGATCTGACGCCAGTTTCCCACTCTCTATGAGACTCACTGACACTAGCAAATGCTATGGGCTTGCTTGAGTTCTCCCATCCTAAATCTCTGAAAGGACCTATGCCATCTTGTAAAGCATCAGTTGAAAGCAAGAAAGGACAGGTAAAGTCAGGGTGTGCCAGGACAACAGTATCAACAAGAGATTATTTCAGCTTATCAAAAGCCTCCTGATGCTCAGGTGTCCAGGCAGTGGGGCAAAGCTTCCTGTACTGTGACGTCTGTTTTAGCTTTCTTACTCAGACAGTGGGTTGGCAGTGAAGCAGTCGTGTTGCACATAATGTTAGTAGTAATTGTTATATAAAGAAATGATCTGATACATCTCTGGCACCATGTCACACAGTCCTGCTCTGTTAGCACTGGTCAGCTTTGCGATGCTCTCAACCCTTCCAGGTTCACTAGAGACACCATCCTCATTGATGACATGGCCAAGAAACTTAACAGAGTTCTGGAGGAAGAACCAGCATCTCAAAGCATTCCGGGGCAACTGTCTCATTTGGTGCAAAAACAAGTAAATCATTCAACCAGCACAGTAAGCTCAGGAAATTCTGGTCTCCAAAAATGCTTGTCATCATACACCTGAAGCTCACTGGACTGTTACAGCGTCCTTGAGGAAGATGACTGTACTCATATAGCCCCACACGTGTCGCAAAAGCTGAGTACTTCTTGTCCTCTTCATGAAGTGGCACTTTGTAAAATCCTGAGATAACGTGCATCGTGCTAAACAGAGAATTGCCACCAAGTGCTGCCACACATTCTGCTAGAGGATGTGTATCCTTCAGAGTCCTTTTATTAAGCCACTGGAAGTCTGTGCGAACACCTAAATCTCCATTCTTCTTTCAGACTAGTACTAGAGGAGATGCATATTCACTTTTATGACTTATTATGAGGATAATGTCTCAATCCTCCATCTCATTTAGGACTTGACGTAACTTCTGGTACTGACTAGAGCGTACTCCTCTGAATGGAAGGTGCAATGGCTTATGGTCAGAAACGTGAATTATATGCAATAATCCCTTTGCTTCCCCACAGTCAAGGAGGCGGTGAGAGAAAAAATCTTCATAGTGCATAATGAGATCAATCAGTTCAGACTTACACTACTCAGACATGTCACAGGTCACATCCAGTGCACCTAGTCCAATTTGCTAGAGTTCTTGGTTACTTGAACCCGTTTATTGTGTAAACATCCAAGGCAGTCACCTGAGAACAGCATTTAAGAGAAACAGTAGAATGTATGGGGCTAACATCATCTTTGTCTTCTAGTGCAATACATCAGCAAGCTTTGCATTGCAGTTAATTGTCAGGGTCTGACATGGGCTTGAATGGAACCTGTCTCCCAAAATAGGTGTGATGACCTGTGCCATCAGAATGTTTCTAGGAGCTGAACAGGAAGAGGTGGGCTCAGGCAATACAGGGCTGCCTGGGGAAACTACAGAGTTCTTTAGCAATTTTTTGCAAACCAGATACTCCCTGCCAGAGTCAAGACACATGGCAGAGTTGGATCTGACTGCACCTATTTTGTCAGGGATTATATCACCTCTCCAGCAGCACAGACCAGCTAACATTGACAGGAACTGCTCAGATTCTGGATCTGTGTTCTGATCTGGATTCTGACACAGCTGTTCCGTAGTTATGACACAAAGCATGTGTTTGTCACATTAGTCCCTAGGATCTTTATCATTACCATCATGTTGGCCCTGAATGACCAAAGTAGGAACAATAATTTCACAGCCATACACTTCTATTTCAATGTCATAAGCAGACTTGGGCCTCGATTACCTCCACAAACTTCAAGCATAACATCTAAGTCATCCTGGTTTTGCACATCTGTCAGTCCAGCATTGATGAGTTGTAACTCTGCAGTTGAGTTGTAGCTCCTCATGTGGAATTGGCTTTGGTGGGAGTCTGCTGCATTCATCACGAGAATTACCGGGTGTAAAACATCCAAAACATTCACAATCTCTCTCTGAGACAGTGAGTGTAGTGTGTGTGTTTGATTTGTAAACTCTGCATGCTTTTTACAGAACCAGGATGGGATTTTGTTTCACTTCTAGTTGGAAGATTAGTTTTTTGCTGCATTTTCTCTAGCACTTGCTCTAACGTACCCACCATATGGGTTAACATCTTTTCGTCTGACTGCTGCATATTTTGGGCCAGATAAGAAGCTGGTTGTGAATACAGCACATGGCAGAGAGCCTGGGCAGAGATGATAGATGAGCACAGTGAGGCAGAGGGCAGGCACGGTGAAGCAGGAGGCAGACATGCCACATAATGCTGGTTTATAATGTGTGAACTGAGTGTCTGGGTGCTGTGGCATGGCTTTTGAGTTGATGAAACCTATCATGGTTTGCAGTTGTTCTTTGCTCTCACTGGTACTCATCTATTCTTTGCGGGATGTATTTTGCATTCTAGTCACTGATGGGCTTGCATTTTAAAATTGAGGACAACTCTGGATCGTAACACTGTTTAACACACATATGGGCCACTTCCTCGCTAATATTTTCCATTCTCCTACCTTGTCTGCATGGGGCATAATCAGCTAGATCAGCTGATTTATTCTGATCCAATAATCAACTGGGTTCTTTCTAGGATTGGGCTGCATGGGTTAAAAATGGTGGTGCATCACTGAAATATTGTAGGAGAGGAGTGTAGATTAACTCTGAGTTTTGCTGCACACCTAGGGACTCATCACTCCGCAAGCCAGTTTTTACAACATCTTTGGCTTTGCCCACCAGTCTGCTCATTATCTCTTAAGCTTGATCAGATACTGGACAGTTCTGTTTTCTTGTCATATCAGTCCATTTACAGATAATATTTCATCCGTGATATCCGTGTGACATCCATAATATCTTTCTCTGACACAACGAATATGGAGGGTTGGGGTGCTCCCAGCACTCCCAGCCCTGTCAGTCTTTCACACCACACCACTGTGAAAAGTACTGGAAATGACATCACTATCATCTAACCCACAAAACACCCCTCCCTCTTGGAGCAAAGGGACTGCATACTTCATCACTTTGGAGCCCTGAAGAGAGTTTTTGTGCCATTGTCACAAATGAAGGAGATTACTTATTTAGGAAAACAAGAACAATCCAAATCTAAGATAAGTGCCAACAGGACTATATTGCATAATATATTCTACTTATAAGCTTGCGCAACAGAACATAAAGGAATATTTAGTGTAAGTGTAAATTCTCTATACTACTAATGTCAGTAGCCAACAGTCCATTGATTAACTGACACAATCTGACCAGGTTAGATGACCTTGTTTGGTCTCCACATCTCATGCTGCACGAAAATCTGCATCGAGCTCATCTCAGAATCCAAGGGGTCACGGCACCAGCGTGACCACGTGTGTGCATGTATCTGAGTAAGGACACGGAGACGGCTCTCTGGGTTTCTCTCTCTCTCTCTTTCTCTTTATTCTCTCTCTGCACACAGACAGTAACTTTCAGTACCGGAATATAGGTTTTTTGCAACTGCTGGTGTTCTTTCTGGCAAAGCATATGTGAAACTTTTTTTTCTGCAATTAATAAACGATACATGTTCATAACCGCACACACACTCTCAACACACACTCAGTGTAATGCAGCATAGTTTACTGTGCTACAATACATTGTAGATCTTTTACTGTAACAGACTTGTTATTTGAAGCTATAGTATGAAAATAATAATAAAAATAATGTAATGAAACAATGCTGTGTGGTCATATGGTAAAGTTTTGCTATTGATGATGACTTATAAAACAGCATTCAATGAGTTTTTAAAGCTAGTCCAGCACAGTAACTCTTAGTACTGTAATCTATGTTTTTAGTAGCTGCAGGTGCATTCCCTAAAACTGATAAAAGAATATATAAAGTAGTGAATAATATCTTGTACAGCATGTGTATTGCTTTCTAGCTATGATGCACGGAGACAGCAGCAGAAACGGCTAGTGTTACGTGGTCAGAGAGAAAAGCTTATGCTTCACCACGTATACTGGTTAGATGTTATTACTGTTAAGAAACAGTATGCGTTGAATCTGCAAGCTGGTGCATTGTTATTTCATTTTATCAATGCAAAATTTTTCCTGGTGCTTATTTTCATCGCTTACTTCTGGCAAAGCACATGAGAAACTTTGCTAGAGTACCGCAGGTGAGAGGTACAAAAAGTGCAAAACAACAGCTGCACAACTGACCTGCAGGAAGTTGCAGTCGCAAAACTAAAAAAATAATTACCAGGGTGAACTATTATAAAAGATAATAATTATCAAGAACAAATACTGAATATTAGTATAGTTTTGAATTTACATTAAATTAAATGAGGTTATTTTCAACTCCGTTACACCATTTTTTTAGTGGATCATTTCATAAATATATGTCCCTGCTGTCAACTGTGTAATTACTGCTGGTATTTTTATTTATCTATCTATTTACATCTTCTAAAAATGCTAGCTGCCTTCTACATTTGGATACTGGACCAATAGAAGTGACCCAGAATTTCTTTTTGGACGCTTTTTCCCCACTTCTATAAAGTGGCATTTCGTAGATATAAGGTTTCCTTGTGTCAGTCACAATACAAATCTGTAAGACATTAATATGGATAATATAACAAATAAGGATGTCTATGTGATTGCGCAATAGTACATTTCTATTGTGAACTACAGTGTACTCAAAGACTAATTGGGCGTTGTGCCACATCTGTGTTTGCAGACAAAGAGGAGCATGAGTGGATAGTGCGGAGCTGCCGGAAGAGCTGGGACGAGTTTGTGGGGCGTTTTTCTGGCAACAGCAGCCCAGAGGAACAGGGAGCTTCACACACAGGCCTGTCCTCAGTCTGATCTGATTTACAATGCACTTTAATTTCACACACTTAAACTAACCACAACATAATAATGGCACTGCAATAAAGCAGGCTGTCATGATAAAGCTCTGCATTTGTCCCGCTTTGTTTTTAAAATTTCATATGGGGTAATATGCATTTGTGGGGTAATTGATTTATGTGCTATGAGCAGTGCTATACTTAGGAGAATTTCTAGATAATGCATTTTACAAATAGGCAGATCACACATGGTAAAGTAGACCTGTTCTAAATGCAGGCTGAAGTAATAATTTAGTAATATACCTAACTATAATGTAATATAACATAAAACATAAAATCACTCAGATTCAGTGTTTAAATTGCATGCTTGAAGGTTTCAAAAGTTCAAATAGAAGTTCATATATTGAAATAGGTTGTAAGATTGCAAGTAGTTCAGTTTTAGACTCCACTCCACCATGTGTTATTAAAGCAATAAGGCACAAGAAACTGTGTTAATCACTTCTTTTTAATTATAGTTACTTCTGGCAAACGATGTGGTTTAACAGTAGGCTGCAGCTGCCAAGCAACATAACGGTCAAAGATTATTTCATGAACAGCACATGGTTTTTCATAACTTATAATATTTTATGATGTAATATAAACTTATAAACTTTATAATACCTTTTCTTAGGACACAACTGATATAATTTGCTTTTTCAATTTTCAGTATACTCAGAAGTTCTCTGTATTTTCTATATGTCATTCAAACTCCCGATATATTTGATGCATTAATACAGAATTCACTTGAGATGTGCTATCATGTGTGTATATGTAATATTTTACAATGACTTCAAATCAGATTTTAGAACCAAAATGATCTGTCTTATAATAGCTTTTAGACTGTTATGTTTTCATAGTAATTGCGACATCTCTGTATTTTCTGTGCAAGTTAATCAAACTCCTGATCTATTTGTGAAAATAGACACAAACTTCCCCACAGGTTTGTGTGTGCATGTGTGCAGGCTGTGTGTCAGTGTGTCCTGTGTAACTGGACCCTGGACGGAGATCAGTCCGGTTATTCAGACTGACACACACTTCCTGTGTGTGATGGTGCTGGAATCAGTGATTGAGTCATTACTGCACACACTGACCCGTGAAGGGCCCGGCAGCTCCGCCATCGGCCTGTGATTACTTCCTGCTATACGCCATACGCACACACAAACACGCACCCACAGAGCCCAAATAGACTGAAAACCTAAACAAACCACAAATACAGAAATGTATACTCTCTAACATAAATGTTTTCTCTCAGCAATACTTAAGTGTTCACCCCTTATTTGTTTAGTGTCCAGTCTAAACGGCCATTAAGTACAAGGTATACATTTTTCAACATCAGCAGAAAACAGAAAACATATTTAACAGAAAATGAAGACTCAACAAATGAATATGAAGTCAATATTTTCAGTATTTGGTGTGTCCACTCTTTACCTTTATTACAGCTCCCATTCTTTTCAGGAGACTCACTTTCAGTTTTTCCACACCTACAAAGTTCAGTCTAAGTTGGTTGCATTTTCTGCTTCTCGCCATCCAAGTATTCCCAAACACATCCAACGACTGGAGTCTGGGGTGGTCAGTCTATTTTTCTGAGAACACCAGCAGCTTCTTTGTTAAATTTTTTTTATCTGTTTTCTTTTCTCAGTGAGGCTTCTTAACAGCTGCACATACTTTCAGACCCATAGTACTGAGTTGTCTTCTCACAGTGGAAGGATGGACAGAAACACCTGTGGATTTTTTTCAGATCTGAAGCAGCTTGATTTTCTCCTCGTTCTCAAAGATGAAAGCTTTAAGTGCTGTTTATCTGATGAGGACAGTGTTGGTGGTTTACCAGGTCTTGCATGGTTGTTAAGAGTCCCATTTTCTCTGTAGATTTTAATCATTTTTTTGACTCTAGTCTTGGAAACTCACTTATTTTATTATATTTTATCATTTATGCACATGGAATATCTTATATCTATTCTCTCTAAAATTTCATTGAAAAATGTATAACTTCTACCTAATGGTCGTTTTGACTGGAAATTAAGAAAACGAAGGGTGGTCTCTGACTTTTGCTCAGTACCAAATGCTGCTTAAGTGTGTCTCTGAACTCTTGCCGCAGAAGGTTTCCATTTAGTTCAGGTTAGCTGATGAGCTGTGGGTCTTCGGTTCCTCTCTGAAGGAAATTTGTCTTTCTCTAGTTACCGAAAAAAAATACCCATCGTATCAAGACGGAGGTGTGTTTATTGCATTTTTCCCACAAAAACCATTCATGATACACCCAAAGAAACAATCTTTTGCTTTGTTTTGTTTATTTATTTATTTATTTCATTTTCTTTACAAAACAAACAATGCGACATGGGGAAAAGTGCTTTACAGGCTAATATCTGTTTCAATAAATACAAGAACGTAGAGGCCTTGTCCCCTTCCCCCCACTCAGAACACAGGAGTCTATGTCGTAACCCACACTTTCAGCATTTGTTGGGACAAATGCTGCTCCCTCATCAGTTCCGTAAAGCCTCCCTCTCTCTCTGCGGGGCTGAGGCACAGGCTACAGGACGCACAGAAATCAGCATAAAACAGAAAACAGAGAAACACGCACGCACATTCTGATCCCACATAACGTCAGGACACTGCTTAAATAAAAATACATGTACATTTCTTCTTCTTTACATGTAGTCATCTATGTTTTCCTGTATGCTCTCTTTTCCTCTTTTTGATGCTCTCTTTCGCTCTCTCTCTCTCTCTTTCTATTCTTCTCCCTCATTCACTTTTCCTCATTTACTCACTCTTTTTTACTGTTTTTTGGATGACTATGAAAAATGATACAGTTTGCTGATTAAAACAATAAACAACATTGTAGAATTGTAGAAAAAAACTTTTCTGTTTTGTTAATTGTGTATTTGGCACAATTAACTTTATTACAGATATAATAATAGCTGTAGTGTTAAATGATCTGAACCTCCATAAACTTAAGCAATAATCCAGCAATGATTCAAGATACAGGGAGGTTATGAATGGCAACTCTACCTACTTCTTCATTATTTTATTGGGATTAGAAAGTCAGCCTTTCTATCAAAATGAAAAAAAAATTACTATGATAGCAATTCAGATAACTATATGCTGTTGTCAGGTAAAACTTTACAGGAGAAGGAAAAAACATACTTTTAATGTAAGTCAATGGAACCAGACATCTTTTCAAGCCAATTTGGGTCACTTCTTTTAGTCCATTTATCATGTAATTTACATACAATGCAAAAGGTAACAGGTATTTTCAAATTTTGTAAAAACTGAAAAATGTCAAAAATGGAGATACAAGGTTTTCTTCCGACAACAGCGCTATATTAATCCAAAATGGATGGAAGCGAGGATGGCAGGGGGGCGATTTTAGTCTTTTTTTTAATAGGGGATTGCATCCTCTTCCATCCCCTTCTTAAATCGAACCATGACCACAACCACATAACATATTATTCTGTAACTACTATGACACGAGTTTAAGGGGTTTAAAAATGCCACATTTTAATTTTGTCTGGCTATTCAGCCGAAACTCCATCTCTGGGCTGGACATTATATAGTGATCAGGCGTTTTTTTTTTTTTAATACGCCTGAGAGAGTGCAGATGCTAGTGGGTGATGAGACTGGGCCTTTACTGATAAACCCTACAGCTGGACTGCATGCTTTACCCACAGACAGACAGATGGGCAGATGAAGAGAGAGATGGACACTCCATTCACAGCACACTAAGATCTGTGCTTTAGATCCATATAAACGCTTGAGTAAAATACACAGACCCAGCACGGTGCTTGTTAAATACGCGCTGAAGGAGAAAATGGAGAGCATTCAATTTACTTGATTTAAATCTGCACATCATTTCCACATGAATAAAAAATAATAAAATAAGCGCAGTTTTGTCTTTTACACTGTCAATAGTAAAGGTGCCTAAAATAACTGCTTTCAGTTCCCTAAAGAACCTTTTAGTGTGCAAGCGTGGAGAACCTTTTTAAAGCTTAAAGAACCTCTTCATAATGTTACTTTTCTATATCATTTTTAAAAGACTTTCTAAGAATGCTGTGTCTTTAATAAACTATTAATGACACATTATAATTGACCCATAAGACACATTAGAAAAATGGCTATAAATATTAACAAAAATGCATGACATTTTATACCCATGTTTATTGTTGTTATGAATTGTAAACATAATTCTTTATGAGTAGTGTTATACTGACAGTGCCAAGCAAACGTGCACAGGGTATTACCAAACCAGCCTATCATAAACACATGCTTAGCCATGTGTAATAAACATAGTTTTAAAGTGTAATGCGTTTTTATTGTTTATAGTCTTGTTTGTAATGTCTTACGAATGTTTATAGGCATTCATAGAACCGTACGTCCAAGCCAAGAACCACTTAGGAACCTTTATTTTTGAGAGTGTAGTTTATTTACTTCTGGCATTAACTGTGTTTCATTTTATTCATATGGAAATGATGTAAACATTTCAGTCAAGTCAGTTCGATGCATTCCTTATTTGCAGTGCAGCAAGATAAAAACTTTTCTTACCAACTGGTCCTAGGCCTCATTTTCCTCTTCCACAGCTTTCCCAACATTATAAATATGTCATTTGAGCAGTGATGCAGGCCATACTGCAGTCCCACAGCAACAAACGTTCCCCAAAACGTGTTTGAGAGAGAGAGAGAGTCAGTCGCAATGAGAGCAGTTGAGCTAAGCCATTTCTCATAATGTCGTTCAGTGTGTGATTAGGGACCGGGTCACATCGAAGGTCCAAATCCTAGTCTCCTAGTCTCAACACAATGTCCAGTCAGTTTGACAGGTGACCACTCAGGCCTCCTGTAACCGCTCACAGGTGTGCAGCTCCACTGCCCGCAGGTGAGGGAAATCCTGTCCCGACAAAAAGGCCAGAGGAAGCGTTCCCTCTCCTTGGGATGTCAGAGGTCAAGAGCACGAGGGACCGTGACCCTGTCCTTCAGCCGAGAGCTTCATGACCCCCAGGGGGGCCGCGGAGGAGTAGAAGCGGGCAGGAAGTGTGGAGGTCAGGATCGAGGGATTGGGGGTCTCGGTGGTTGGGGTGTTAGCGGCTGAGGGGCAGCTGGGGCAGGGACATGGCCTGATGGGGGAGACTCTGTGTGGTCAGCACTGAAAACGGATGACCTAAGGACACAAGAAAATGGGCAGATTAGTACAAACATGTACTTCCAGCACGTTCATACACATTGCATGACACATAAAAAATCAAATTAGCAAAATTTTACCATGTAGTCGATCAGCCAAGACATGTTTGGTGTTGAAGTTATATATATATATATATATATATATATATATATATGAATATAGCAAACAAGTAATGGAAGCTTATATTTCATCTCAAATAGACTTGCTTATGTGGTTTCTGACACTGCATACTTATTGTTATCCATAAAACGAAGCCATTTTTTTAGATAACAGAATATTACACTGTATCAGAAACCACATAAGCAAGTCTGTTTGACATTACCTAACAACTCCACACAGTTTGAGGCAATTATATGATAATTTAGGCCTGCAGGTAGCGCAATGCTATTTGAAAATATTAACTGGTACCTGTTAGCTTTCACTACCTATCTTGTAGTTTCAGTGTAAAACTAAAGAAGCCAGCTTTGGACATCAAATATGTCTTGGCAGAATTTATAATAAAAGAAAACAAACAATGCCTTTAATATGCTTAATTAAAAAAGTGGTTTCACACCCATATATGAGAAGTGGTGAGGGTCGCACTCACTGTCGATGTAGCCGTGCAGGGCCACCATGCGTGCTCTCTCCGGGCTACCGAAGGGCGAGTAATGCAGCTCGTCAGGCAGTGAGGGGGGCATACGTGCCTGCGGGTGACCCTGTGGAGGCCCGTTGTGCTGGGGAGTGTGCTTTTTGTGTCTCGCTCGGCAGTTCTGAAACCAAACCTGCAAATAAAGCCGCATGAACAGCTGTTAGGTTACACTGTTAAAAGTGAAGAGTCAGGTCAACTCTAAAAACTCAACTCTGTGTAGCTTTTTGTTTGTTTGTTTGTTTTAATGTTCTTAATTTATGCCCTATTCAAGTTGGATTCGTTTGGGGTCCAGTAATATAATTTGTAAGAGATTCGACTGGGCGATTCGTATGGGATAAATTACCCTTAGATAGCCCGGATCTAAATATCATAGGCCTTACATTCACGTCAGCATTAACATTAGAATTAAACAGATCCAAACAAAAAACAACAACAACAAAACAAAATGAACAATTACAGCAGTCCTGTTTGGAAACTGAGGATAAAGGAACTGCCTTAAGTCAGACTCGTTTTTATGGTTAGTCTTTTCTCCAAAAAACAGAGGTACTGTGTCTTTTCCCATAATTTATTATTGGAGTTGATTTGAACAGAACTGCTATTACTAAAGGAGCTCTGAGTTTGATGAATTATAGGTTATCTGGGATTATTACTTAGCAGATTTGTAAAAACTGTGTACACTGTAGATTCATACAGGATTAAAATTACAGATGTCAATGGTTATTGCTCCAATTATAGTCAAAAGTTCTCTTTTAAAAAAAAATAATAAGTTGTACGCACTTAAAATGACAGTTCTTCAGGGGTTCTTCAGTAGAAAATGGTTCTATATAGAACCATGGACACTCAAAGAACCCTTTGCATGATTAAAGGGTTCTTCCATTGTTTTAAGCTTGATATCATAACAATAGAAGAACCTATTATGGTGCTACATAGAACCCTTGTCAAGAAGGTTCTATATAGAAACATATACCACACATTCTCCATCAATCTGAAGAACCCTTTCACAATGCAAAAACACTTTAATCATGCAAAGGGTTCTTTGAGTGTTCATGGTTCTATATAGAACCATTTTCTTTACTAAAGAACTCTTGAAGAACCATTATTTTTAAGTGTGTATTGTAGTCTCAGTTAAGTAAAAAAAGATACATGAGGTTGCCTCCTTATAAGCTGAAATCACTTACATTTTTGGAGGATTTTTACTCAGTTATTCCCTCAGTTTAGTCATAATTCCCACCCACAAGCTACAACCTGTTGGCGGGTGGCGGGGGGGTTGAGGATTTCCTCAGCTCAGACGTCTGATGATGGAGGGCTGTGGCTTCTCTGGGATTTATGACCTCTTGATGAGCCGAAGGTTAGACAGTTGCGCCACTTAATATCCTCAAAGTAGAACTTTAATTGGGCTTGAAATTTTGGTCTGAACCCAAATACAGTCTGAGAATTATCTGCCTGAACCCGACCCAAACCGAACCACATCATCACATTTTGAGTCTGAACCTGACCTGAGTCTGACAAAATGTTGTCTGAACCTGACCTGGACCACATTATCAAATTTTGACTGATCGAGCTGAATAAAATTCTGCCCAAAACTGACCCATCACCCAAAATGTTCTATAAAACCTGACGGGATAGCGTCACTGTAATAATAATAATAGCCATAAACAATATTGTGACGTCTGGCGAAGAAGGAGATGCGGGAAACATAGCGCTTTCAGGAAAGGCTCTTTTACTGAACCGGCAGCAGTGGAGCATCGCCGCCCAGCACTAACCCTAACACGAAAGAGGCCGATGGTAATGAAGGGGGAGGGTAGACACACACATACAGCCCACCCTTTCCAGGCCGATTTAACACACCCAGCATGTTGCAGTAATAATGTCCTGGGGAGTCAGTGGGAGTCTGGTGTTTTCCCAGGAGGCTTTGCACATCCATGGCCGAACAAACCCATTATATGATACAATATGATTAAATAATCAGCTGTTCAAAATTAAGTTTAACAAATTTATCAAGCATTGCTTGAGCCTTGTGGACCACTTAAATGAGTGACTCCAGTGTGCCAGATTAAAAAAACGTTTTAAGGTAGTGAACATACAGAGAAAGAATAAAGCAAAGAGTAAATCTAAAGCAGGCTGATGAATCTGAGTAAGATCTGTTAAAAAATGAGAGACGGGAACATGAAATTTAAACCTGAGCTGAGCCTGACACATATTTGAATATCCAAACTTGAACATTGTCAGTCAGGTCCTGTTGGGTTTGGACAAATGAAGCTCTACCACAAAGTGTCCAATAAAGAGTGTAAAGGTGAATTAACTGGGACCTGTGCTTAAATAGTTCCTTATGCTCAGACAGAGAGCACTGTCTGTACTTATGCAAAGAAAAGTTACTTGCACAAATCAATAAATTCACTGCAGCAAAGTGTTAAAATTGTGTTAGTAAACATTTTCACAGTTTCTTGTTGTAGTTTTATGGCTTCAGAGTGGTGCAATTGTCTAACTGCCTAACCATCCAGAGGCAAGGGATCATAAGTTTGAATCCTGGTGACACCTCAGCCCCGAGTCATAGCCTGTGGGTGGGAACTGGCAATGACTAAATTGAGGGAATGAACTGAGTAAAAATCCAACAAAATGTTTAAGCGAAAAATTGAATTTCAGCTTATAACAGGGCAACTGCGTTAACTCTTGTTTTTTTCTGAGTAAGCTGAACTTATGCTGCATTTGGCAGACTTAACTTATATGCAGATGTAAGCTAGGAGAACTTTTGACTGAACTAAGCTCACAAAATAAAAAGAAAGAAGGTTGATGTAAAATTTCTTTTTGATCTGTCGTTTAATTTTTTATCATGTCATGGCGCAGGTGCAATGAAAAAGCCTTACATTTATTTCAATAATGATGGTATACTTATTTGCATAATTTTAGCTTGTGCTGAAAATGACAGTTGTTGGAGGAAACGCCAAGCAAATTTCCAAAAAATGGAATATTGAAGGTGTGCAAAATTGGTAGGGGCGGTGATGGGGCGCATATAGAGAGATACCAAAGTAGAAAGGGAGAAAGAGAGTAAATGAGAGAGAACGCAAGTGAAAGAGAGGAAGATAGTGAGAGAGAGACGTATGCAAAAGTTTGTACACCCCTGGGCATGCCTTGTTGATTTTCTAAGTGAAAACGAGTTAACACATTTTCTACAGAAGCCACATGTAAATATGACTTTTTTTCTTTACTCTGCACAATTTCTGTTTATTTACAGTGATTAACATTAGAAACAAAACATAAAATACAAAATGTGCCATAACTTTTGTATAATTTACTTTTTTCCCCACTATGTTAAAATCAGCAAATAAGCAGTAACTGTGCATTAAAAAGTGTGTTCTCTATAGAGGATGCGTTAATTTATTTTTACAAACATGTAGTTAAACCTTTTGCATGCGACTGCATAGTGAGCGGCGCTGTAATGCGTTCACCTGTATGACTCGTCTGCTCAGTCCCGTCATGTCCGCCAGCTTTTGCAGCGTCTGTGCATCAGGGTTATTGTCCTGCGCAAACTGAGCCTGCATTACCTGCACATGGCATAGAGAACAGTTACACTGATGAGCGTTTTTCAGAAGCAGAATCAGGACAACGTTGCATCAGAATTTAAATTTGAGTGTTGGTACATAAAGCAAATAGCATTTAGAATGCAAAAAACGTAGACCACACAGGATTTATAACCATATTACATGTAACATATACAAATCAAGTGCTTAAAGATGCAAAAAGTCAGTAGGTGTCTGTTTATTGTGGAACAAATGAAACCACATGTGATGTTAGTGCTGTTGAATGCAATAACTTAATAACTGTAGTGAATTAAGTAAAGTGGCACATGGGAAAAAGCTGCCACGGTGATGTGCCTGTCAACCCAGCAGCAGAAAGTTAATTTGAAGAGGAATTTCACTGCTTTTCCATTTTTTAAATGGGTAAGATATAGATAATGGCATTCAGAGTGGTTTGATGTAATTTTTGTGTTCTAGAGAATTGTTCACAGTGGTGGTGATAGGAACCAGACGTCTTAATGCCTCTAAAAGCTCCCACACAGAAAGGATCGACATGAAATAAATATAAATTTGCTGCCTAATGTTTAAGACCTTATTCTACTTCATTATGCAAAGTGTTGTAAGGCAAAATAGTCCCCAAAGAAAACCAATTTTTTTCAAATTTATGACTATTTTACCATCATCTACATTACAAATAAAACACGTGTAGTTCACTAGTCGTTTTGTATAGTACATAAAATTTGTGTTGTGCACATTGTGACCCCTGGTTCCTATCTGAATCTGAATTGGTAAGTTTCTCTACAATTAACCACTACACATCAAAGCACTCTGAATAACTTTGTTTACATCTCACTGCAGACGTTCTGAAGAATACCTTTTAAAAACAATTCCATTTGTGATTCCGAAGTTACCTGCTTGCACGAGAATCAATCTTACTGTAATTTCACATCCCTCAGATTGTGAAACCTTTAATTTGGTGCTATGAGTGCATTTTTGGGGTGTATTGCATTCTAACCTGCAGCTGTTCGGCAGTGAAGGAGGTCCGAGCCCGTTTGGCCGGTTTGGGCTGACTGTCCTGCTCTGATGGCACTGCCCCTTCCAGCGTCAGACCACTTCCTGAGAGGAAAAAGGAATAACCAGTCAAATTTCTCATTATCTTACATTTAGAGCAATACATAGGGACATACAGGGCTTTGCATATGATGATATGTAGTGTAGGGACATGTAGGAACAGTGCATAATGCCTAATATATAGTGCTGCACCTCCACAGAGTGTAAATATTTAAATTTCCTCAGAGAGGGAGCCCCTTTAGATACAGAAATGGTTTTGAATGCATGCCTATCAAAGTGCTGGCCTACATGCCACACTTAAAAAACAGTGCTTTGAATTTACATGATTCAAATGTCATTCACTTGCACATGAATAAAATGTGCAACCGAGTTACAATAACACAATTCTTGCCAAAGCAAAAGACAGCAATTGTTTCGATTTAGCATGTTTTTCATGTGGATCTGAGTGGCATGTTTGAATCATGTAAATCCAATGGACCATTTTTTCAGAGTATTAATACGAGGCCTGAGCCGAGATGATTACAGATCCATCACCCACATATACACGCATCTGCCACATCCACACACACTTATACTCTCTCTCCCACACACACACACACACACACACACTCACTGTTTCTACCACATGCACTCCCTCTTCTGTCATTTCACATGAATGCAGAGTACTTACAGGCTAATATCCTAATACTGATGCTTTTTTTAAAATCTTCTTGTCCATGTAAATGTGGGAATGCTTTCTGATTTTTACAGTGATACACCACATCAGTAGATACAGACATCAAAATACACATACAGTCGTACCCTAAAGTTTGCACACCCATCGTCAAATGACATATTTTGTTGAATTTCTAAGTGAGAATAAGTTAACACACCCTCTACAGCAAACACACTTAATATGGCTTTTTTCTGCAAATGCTAGTGCAGAAGTTTAACATATTGGAAAAAATAAAACACAAAATTTGAAATGTGCTTTTAATACTTAACTTTTGCACAGGACACATTTTATGTTTTATTTTTGCCCAATATGTTAAATTGATTGTGCATTCAAATGTGCAGAAATGTGTTCTCTGTAGAGGATAAATGTATATTTATTTTCACTTTTTTTGCATACAACTATACATATATTTGAAAGTCTATGCTTTAGTCTTTAATGAAATTAAAATGTATTAAATATGCAGGTACTTGCATGTAAATAAATAATATGCACCATATTTACACACATATATATATATATATATATATATATACCTACAGTTCTGTGCAAAACACTAAGATATGTAATAATGGTCTCATTGGATATATAATTATTGCATATAATTTCCAGTCAAAACGGCCATTACATACAAGTTTTATACAATGATAATAATAATAATAATTATTATTATTATTATCATTGTTATTATTATTAAGCAAATATCTACGTCATAATAAAATGGCCTATATGTATTATATATGTAAGTACCCATATGTAATATCACCTATAACTATATGAATACTTATGTAATATATGAGTACCTATGTATAAAAATAACATGTCCCATATGCATAAACCCAATACTAATCATAACATAACCCTATTACCGAAAAAGAAATGGTTTTATGCTCATTCTACTAACACTCTCTCTCTCTCTCTCTCTCTCTCTCTCTCCCCCACACACACACACACACACACACACACGCACAAACACTCACTCACCACTCTCAGCTGCCCGTTTGAGGTTTTCCACCATGGTGTCGTAGTGGATCCTGCAGAGCACCTTCTCCTCCACCAGGCCGAACTCCTCTCCGGTGGAGAGCTGACGTTTACAGGAGAAGCAGGCGAAGCAGGCCAGGTGGTAGGCGTTTCCACGGGCGCGCCGCACCCAGTCACTGGCGTAGATCTGCCGGCCACAGCGCGCACACTTAGTACCAAACCTACTGTGAGAGAGACAAGGCCTGCCGCATCAGTACCCTGACCAGGGTAGCAGCCTACGGTCAACCTGCATCAAAAACACACTAAAACTGCTAGTGTACCTGATTTCTGAGTACTCAAATTAAAAGACTATAAAATATACCCAGAACACCTACAAACTGTGGCTGTTAGTGTTCTCAGTACTAAGTACTCAGACTGAGTAATTGTACAGTAATTGTGAGTCCTCAGTTCTCTATGAAACTACTAGTATTCTACACATTTTACTAAAAACATGCTTAAAACAGAAAAGTTTGTGTTGTTATTGCTATAATGTAAATTTGACAATATTAGTCATATTTCTGTTAATGTTAACATTATTAATATTGTTGTTAGTGTATCAAAACACTGAGGATTCAGATTAGAAAATTGTGCAGTATTCACTCATATATATAAGTGTACTCTATAAAACCCACCCCGACCCCCTGGCAACAAAAGGTTTGGGCACAAACAGCTATACATTTGGCTAAAACACAGAAAAAATGAAAATGAAAGCATTGCATATGTTGCATTAGTATTGCAATATTGTTGCTCAGATTACAAGATTCAATCCTTAATGAAAGTATACTCATTACTCTATGCACATACAGAGTAATGAGATTCTCAGCTTACAAAGCACTTTCTCAAACTTTTCATCATTAAAAGGATCTTATCTGAATTCTGAAGAAAAAAAAAAGCTGTAGCGTCTTTAGAACGACTCCAGAAGGACTCCAGAGTGACAGGCGCTAAACGTTACAGACAGACTGCAGCTCTGCATAAACATCCCACTAGCAATTTAGCAGCCGCAGCGCTGCAGAAAGCACATGCAGATCCAGTGGCAGCGCTCAGAATGCATAACCTGTAGCAAATGTTCAGTTAGCACAGCCCTCATACGTTCTACACAGACCTGATGATGTCTTTAAATGATGTTTTAATATTCTCCGTTTACCAGCTTTGAGTGGATTTCAAATTGGTTTCATAATTGTTATACGAAGACTTGCTTTTCAACATTATGCTCCAGCATGGCCGGCCTGCATTCATGACTAAGTGCAGGGCGATGACAGTGGTTGTGACAGGACACCAGAGAAATGAACCAAGTGGGACCAGCAGGTTTTGTTAATATGTTATTTCTGCCAGCAAACATAGTGAGGTCCAATCTGTGCCAGCTGGAATACATTTGATGTGTTTTTTCACAGTATTGAAATTAGGCCTCCATTTTTCCAGATCCATCCACTGCACTTTATTCAGTGTGTGACAGTCTTAAAGCGGAATTTTGCCTATTTTTCAAAAGGTCTGCATAATTAAGTGGTTAAGATGTAAACAAAGTCATTCAGAGTGTTTTGGTATGAAATGCTGTGTTATAAAGAAACTTACCGACAGAATTGTTCACAGTTGTGGTGATAGGAACCAGACATTTTAGGAGTTTAATGCTTTTAAATGCGCCCTCACAGAAAGTTATTACATATGAAATATTTTGCATAATGCCTGAGAAGTTGTTTCATGAAGGTTTCAAGTTAAGGTTTTGCACTAAAATGTATTTTTAAAATTCATCTCTAAGGCAGAGAGGTATATACTTTATAAAGCAAATTAGTCTCCAAAGAGACTACATTGCAGATAAAAACTCAGAATAATTGTGTTGGTTTACTTGTGGTTTTGGATAGTAAATAAAATGTCTACATTTGTGTTGTCGACCCCTGGTTCCTATCACCACCACTGTAAAGAAATCTGAGTCTGTAAGTAAATTCTGAATGTTGACTTTGCTTACATCTCAACAATTGAATTATTCTGATAATAAAACTCCTTTAACACAAAGCTGTACAAATCAGTGCTGTCATAACATAGTACTGTATCAGCGAAATGGTAGCTATACAGGAGAAGAAGGCAATGACCTCAACTGTAAGTTAATGTTAAGATTCTATTCCAAGTAATTTTGGACCGTTTCTATTAGTCATGAAATGTTTCCACACCGTGAAGGGCAGCTGACATTTTCAAATGGCATAAAAAAGTTGTTACAGTTGTGCACAAACGTTTTAACACCCCTATTTTGTTGATTTTCCAAGTTAAAATAAGTTATTCATGTAATCTACAGGAAACAAACTTAAATATGGAGTTCAACATATTAGAAAGAAATTAAACATGTAATAAAAATGTGCCATAACTTTTCTCAAATATGTTAAAATCAGCAAATAAACAGTATTAAAACGTGCAGAAATGTGTTTTCTGTAGAAATGTGTTAACCTATTTTCACAACAGTAATTTGATCGGGGTGCACAAACTTTTGCACACGACTGTATGAGTTACGTTTCGATACAACAGTGACACAGTATTGATCTTCAGCCATCAAACACAGTCTGTTTTAGACGTACAGAAGCTGCTGCGATGTGGTCAGCTGAGGCAGGTGTTATTTTGACGGGACTGGACTGAACTGCGCCGAAACATCACATGGTGACCAAGTGAGGGTTTTTAGGGTTCTGGCAGAGAGAGCGGGTCAGTGCGGCTTTTGGCGCAGTGGCTGAGACTAATGCTCTGCAGATGGCCAAGAAAGCCCCCCGGCACCCCCCCTCCACCACCACCACCACACCTCTGGCACACGGAGCGCTTGTGTAAACAAAGTGTCGTACACCACCTCCTCCGACCGCAGAGAAATGTGGGATATCAAACTGACTGATTTGGCTTCGGTTCCCCCCTTTCCCTTCCCCGTCCCAAGAATGATGACACTAGCCTTGCTTGCTGGATCCCAGGCAGAGGGGCCCCCGGGGAGGGGGCTGGGCAGGGGGGCCTGTCCACTGAAAATGACATCATGCTAGGCTAGAGAGCCTCACAGTTAGCTCTGAAAAATGCTGGAGACTTATATTTCCCAGGCAGGAGGTGATTTTTCTTAACCTATTCAGGAATACATAAGGGTCTCAGTTTGATTCCAGTTGATTTCATGCTCCACCTAGAAATGCCGCCTTCTGTGGCACCTGTTGTGAAGGTGGACGAGCTTTAGGAAACATTAGCAAGGATTTTGTTCAAAGTAACAAATAACTGAAGCAATCTTTGTTCAAGTTTGCTACGTAACAAGGAGTTTCTAGTCTAAAATGCTACCAAGTTGCTTATACTATGCTTAAAATGCTAGTTGCCATAATGCTAAGATATCATATTTTTGCAGTGCAGAAGACTGTATTTGTGGGTGGAGCATGTATAGGTCAGTTGTTGCCCTCTGTAAAAAGCTAGCTGGAGATTCATTCAATTTTGGGGTGTCCCAATATTGAATGTATCTCTGTGTGATCCTCATGACATCCCACAATGTGCTCATCAGCTAATGTATCCTCAAAAAACACAAATGTAATTAAAATAGTGACCACCTCACCAAAGAGCCCAACATTCATGTTTACATGTTAAGTACATTTGCTTAAAGTATGCTACATTTTCAATTTCGACATTTTTAAATGCTGAAATGTATATTATGCAGATTATTTTAGCTAATTAGCAGTTAGCAGTTACTACTATACTATTGACGAATGTTTACAAGTTTTCCAGAAGGGTTAAGCATAACTCTAGATCTCTTATGACCTAAACGGGTTACCCACTTTACAAATTTAAGATGTAGCAATGGCATCTGCAATTCGAGACCTACAAGACCTATTTAATTATATTAGATAAATTATCTTACCAAATTGGTTGAAAGTCAGAGTTGAAAACTCAGACTTTTAACTCATTGTGTTTAAAGTGACCCTGTAGCTTAATTATGTGTATTTTGTTAAAATAACTTTCAAAAGTCATAACTTCACCAAATGTTTCAGTAGTGACTGTTTCAGTAGTGAAAACTTTAGCTAATTTTGAGCAGAACCCAAAAACATCAGGCAGTGCATGACTATTAAACACTGGTTTGAACAGTTGTACACACATAAAATCATCATAATCTTCATTAAAACACAAAAAAGTTTGCTTAATTGCAGAAAATTTGTGTTTCAGGGGTGACAGTTTTTAACTGATTTTCCACACTTTGGACACATTCATTTCAAAACAATGGGATCTAACTGTTCACCATGTGGCCATGAGGGACAGGGATGCAGTCTTACTTCCTGCTCTAAAATGCAGGGGCATGGCTGAAATAAGGCTCTACCTACATACTAAAACTCTGTGTTTCGGTAGTGACATGAAAACGTGGACAGCATTGTTTGAAAAAAGTTTAAATTATTTAAAATTAAACCCATGAAAAGTCTAAAATTTTTAACTTAGCTTTAAAAGAAATCAAAAAGATCTTTTCAAAAAAAAAAAATAAATATATATATATATATATATATATATATTGCATATATTAAAAATACAATTTTGGTTTAAATTCAGGGGTTTAAGTTTGGCACAGACATTTCAAGAGTAAGTACTGTATAAATTATAATTTCATATATAATTAGCTTATTACTATCTCAGTGTCTTGGGTTGAAACTGATCATAACATAATCTTTGTAAATTTACAAGTCTAAATACTTTTCATTTTTTTTTTTTTGACCGCAGGGACCACAGTTTGGTAGAATGGTCCATATAATATTATTATTGGTGCTTCTAACAGTAAACTAACAGTGTACTTGGCAAACAGTGTAGTTCAATTAAACTTAAATGTGACTATTTAAAGAAACAACTGCTTAATCTGTATCCCAATTTAATGCTTCATAGTTCATCTAAAAGTTTACCACCACCCCACAGCCACCTAAAGAGAGTTGCAATAGTGATTAAAATCCAGCTTACTGCATATTTGCTCAATACAACTACATACAATGAGCCTGAAAGCACCATGCAGGTTTGCAAAGCCACTTTTGTGTACTTTACTAACCATATTCTGACAGCGTCATTCCAGACAAAGAATACAACATCTGCGTAATGATGCATTTCAGAGGATTGTTTGGAAAGAGACGTGGAACCCTGCTGAAATCTCTTCACGGCATCTTGCCGTACCGCACTTTCAGAAATGCATTTTCTTAAAAAAGTGTGGGTTATGCAACGT